ATTATTTCACTAGGTAAGTCTTCACCAGTAGCTACTAGTCTAATATTATATTCATCATCAGGACTTAATGAGAGAGAGAGCTCAGTATTTGTAGTGTTGTTATTCATAATAATACCGTTACTGTTATTAACAAAGACATGATACTGAGGAGTAGCACTAATCACTGCTGAGGGAGACCAGCCTAGTGTAACTGAGAGAAGACTATCTCTACTGTAGACCAAGTTTGATGGAGATCCAGTTACTAAAAAATAATGGATAGAACAATCTGATATGTATTACCTACCAGTAATATCTCTCGCTGCCATATTAGTAGATACTAAAGGTGTAGTTGTAATTCTGTCAGTAGTAACAAAGCATTTATACAGACCAGACACTCTCATTCTAAATATTACTGATACTTGTACTTGTACATCATTATTAACTGGTGTTACAGTACGTATCAGATCATTATCAGATACATTAAACTGGTTTCCATTATCAACAGAGCAAGTGACTATTGTTGGTGATCTATTAGTGACATTAAATGATAAACTAAACACTGGAGGATCAGCATCAACTGATGAGAGGAGCTGGAAGGAGGAGCCATTACCATCAATCATTGGAAGTTCTGTATAATGAATTGAATAAAATTAATTTAATATTTTAAGCTTACCAGCATTTTTAAGGAAATCTCCATTACCATAAGTAGCAACATACAGTGTCTGATCAATTCCTTCTTCATTTGGTATAACACAACTGTACAGTCCTTGAACATTTGCTATTCCTCCATTTCTTAACAAACCAATTTGACCAGTAGCAGTGTTGTTAGCAAACAGAGGACTACCAGAACCCAATGGTACAGTTGTTCCATCAGGATAATACCATATTCCTATCATATTCTGATTAAGAGAACTCTGACACCACAAACCATCATTCTGACCATCAGGACCAATTTGATTATTAGTAGCAATACCATCAGGTCTATCTATATCTACTTCATGAAACAGACCAGCAGCTATCATTGAAAAATTAGCAATAGCAATATCCTCCTCACCAAGAAACAATCTTATACCTATTGATACAATAGATAGGTCTATTACAAAAAACTACATAAATCTAAACTGACCAGTAGTTGGACGAGGAGGTAGTGAACCAAACTGTTGACATGATACATGAAGTACCAATGATAAGAGAAATAACCAGGACATTGTACAATGTAACTTGATCTAAACTGCCCACTAAGCAAAATATTAGCCTGTGTGGGGGATATTGCTATTATAACAGATGAGCTGTCTCAATAGAAAAGCAAATATTTCAAAACAATTGACCCAAAAAAATTATACTAAGACCATAACATACCGATATACAGTTAACTCAGTTAGTAGATAAGAAGTTCAAATATAAAAGGTACTTATGAGACAGTAAATTACAATAATTATAATAGTCACCATTAAGTAATGTAAAGAAAAACATTTTGACTGTTGCTACTAGAATGATGCAAAAATATCAAAGGACACTAATGAGTCTCATGATACTATACTAGCCAACTAATGAAGTGTGTGTGTGTGTGTGTTAGTGCTGGTGTGTACATGTACATGTGTGCCTGTGCTGAGCTAGCTTGCTTTATTAAAATGATAAAAGGTCAACTGTTCTTTTTGTGGTATTGTAATAATCGTTTTTCTAATAAGGTGTTGCATAGTATAGTCACCAAATTTGGTGTCTATTCCTCTAGTAATATGTTGCATAATATAGTCACCAAATTTGGTGTC